GCCTATTTTTATTGCATCTAGATGTTTAAAGTTAGTTGTTTAAAAAATATTACAAAGAAAATTTCATCTTGCTAACCCCTAAGTTTGTTTTGACAAGTTAAAGTTTCTCTCACAGTTTTGAATCAGAAGGACCTTGACATGTGAAGAAAACACTGAAGAAAAACAGAATTTAAAAACTACAGGTTAAAATTTTTTGTTCTGCTGTGTGGTGGAGACGCTAATGCTAACAGTTCTATGCCATTTCCTGGATGCTAAACCAACAGCAGCCTTCCCCATCGCGAGTCAGGATGGGTGAGTCCATGAACATTGTGATGTAGATCGGTCAGGCTTTTCTAATCAGGAGTTTCACCATCCATTTTCTATCAGAAGCGAATGCAGGCGAAAGGGGTGGGAGACCGTTTTCATGTTCTGCCTGCATGAAAAACTCAGAGTGACCGATTATAATCAGGAATAATAACTTAAAAATGGATTTTCAGTGATTCACACTTTTAAATAAATAACCAAAAATGTTTATGATGAAATACAGTCTTCTTCAGGACTGAACAGAATAAAATATGATGGTGCAAGAAGCTAAAAAATAAAATAAGATTTGAAAATGAAAAAAATAATCTCCCTAAATGAGAACAACTGGTCTAACTTGAACTAAATATTGTAAAATGGACCATTTACCATTTTATTATAATGCTGCCAGTGTTGTTATACAAGGACTCACGTACAAGTGTTTTTCATTTAAGCAGTTATAGAAAAACAACATGTGAACCACAATTAATACAAAGAGAAAATCAACATTAAAGAGAACAGCACTCGAATAAAAACCAACGTAACACACATGAATACAGAACATTAAATCAACGAGATGTTCTTTTATTAATATTTGCCATTAGAAATGGATCTTTGGCCTTTCTGGAGAAAATAAACACAGTTTTACTATTTAAGGTCCAATCAGACTGATTTTAAAATTGGACAATGTGCTTGGGACCAACAGGATTGGTGTTTGAGTCTATTTTATTTACTGAAATAGACTCAAACACATTTAAAACACAGTTGATTTCAAACACGCTAAAAGGGCAGGTAGATTTAACATCTGCTGGCTTCAATCCTAACTGTCACAGTTGACTTTACAATCCTTGTCATAAAAGTGTTCTGAGAAAACAGAGTAGTCAGCATCTGCTGCAGCATCAGCACTTATAAAGACGAGAGACGGAAATTAAGGTGGAAGGGAGGAAGTCTGGGGGAAGATAAGTGGAAACGACTACAGTCGGTGTTAGAAGGTGAAAATAACGGAAAATGGAAATGAACGGAGGTCTTCATCTTTTTGTTTGAGGTTCAGCTTTATGAAAACACACAACTGAGGTCACTGAACAAGAAATTTACAAGATTATTATTTTATTTTTTTGGCAAAAATGACATAAAAAATACTTGTGGGTGCAGAAAGTCACAAACTTTATTGTTGGCTCTTAAGAAACAATGTGACCCTTTTGGTTGAGGACTGTTTAGCTCCATCTCTTCCACTCCATCAACAACACAAAGGCTATCGGCAGCTGGTGGCCTGACTCACTGCCTGCAACTTATCAACCAGTTTAACTTCATTACAAGACTTCCAAGGAAAATATTTTCCGGGCCGCTGCATCTGTTCTCGTCACAACAACAAGACCTGACTCATGCCCCTCTACACACTATACATCAATAAAACACACACACACACACACACACACACACACACACACACACACACACACACACACACACACACACACACATTGGTAACAGTGCAGATGGGCAGTGTGGTAGTTCTCACCACGCTGCCTTAAACATAAGGGTGAGTTTAAGAAAAAAGGAATGAAGCCATGTGCTGCACCCAGAGCTGAAGGGTCGTTTACTCTGCTGAAGTTTTCCTGTGGTGTTTGTTTTCACACGAAACGACTAACTCCATTATCTTTGGTGATGCAGTTGCTCAGCATTTGATGAACTCCCCAACAGCAGCTTTGTAGCAGAGGTGTGTGTGTGTGTGTGTGTTTCTACAACATGCTGTAAAACATTTACTCCCGTCTAAACTGCAGTTTCCTGTGGAATAGCGCGATGTTAAAGCAGACTTTGTCATTTGCAAACTGTAGTTTTAGAAAACCTGAATCTGGGTTTAAAATTCAGACTTGAGGATAAAATAATGCTGTTTTTTCTCCAAGTGACCGTCGCCCTCGCGACTCAACTCCTGATAACTGGGAGAAAATGGAAGGATGGAAATTTCTAATTTTGATGTTATATTAAAATCTTAGTCAAAATATTGGATCTCAGGTTTTTTTTTTTGCTCTTTGTGTTTTTTATAGCGGTGTATAACTCCTTGTAGATTATTGTCACACCTTTGCATCAAATTAATTTTAGCTCTAAAGCCTCCAGATGAAGAATGAGGATAACCTGCCATTTCCAGTCCAACACATGTCTACAACAGGATCCAGCAGGGCTGATTTGATTTCTTTATTACTCTGATGTCTTTACATAAACAGATAAATAAGGAATTTCACATAACTCCATTACTCAGGCTGAAACAGGCCATTCTGATTGTTGTGCCAAAAAATCATCACGTTTTCTGTTGTAAATAATTAAATGATATGTAACTGACTATGTCATTGAAATGTTGAAGTATTTTTTTTCAAACCGCAGTAACTAATCGGTTAGAAGTAATCCCTTTTTCTCTAAACTGAGGTTATTCAAAGAGCTATCAACAACATGTAAGTTATCAAATATTCATAACATTTCCACAGAAACTCACTATGACTTTAAATCACTAAACTTCCTTCATGGTGACAGTATTTGTACAGGATGCTCTAATCTGCCATCATTTCCTATTCTTGGTTGTTTTTACATAAGGCAACTTTGCTGCATTCAAAAAAACTCCAGTTAGCTTATGCTGCCTTAGAATCTGTGTGAAACCTGCAGTTGCATTTCTTATACCTGAACTATATTTTCATCATTTACGCTTTGATTCATCCTAATTTTCCCCTGCAGAGCTCAGCTCCTACACTGAGATGCATCCCTGCAACACCTAAACCAGACATTTGTGTTAACTCTTGGCATTGATAACACGCCCTCCTCCTTTTAGAACACATGATGTTCCATAGCTTGAGTCAGGTGATCGCTCCTCTTTCTCCTCCGTATTGTTTTTGAGCATTTGCAACAGGAATTAATCACTCCCACGAGATGAGCAGGAGAGACGCTTGCTCTGAAAAACAAGCAAACTGTTCCCTCCGCTTGGTGTTTACAGGGGAGAGGCTGATCCAGATCGCCAACTGTTGTTGATTTATGAAAACCTTGTGTTTTGCCGTGCTGATATCTGTTGACGATGCTGAAGCCCAAACTAAAGATTATCACCTCTAGTCTTACGATTGGAAGCCAGCCTGTAATTAAATAACTTGTTAGCTTTGCTGGGATTTACCGGGATGTACTGGAATGTGCTATTTCCATGTATGAATTGTAAAAAGAAGTTTCTGTCACATGTTGCATAAATCACATTTCTGGTTTGAACTCTGAGGTAAACACTGAGAGGACCCCTCCCATTGCATACTGTCTCACATCTCACATCAGGAATAGCGGGAATAAGTGGACAACATCCAGACTGTGGGAATGTTGCCGTGACTCGTTAGTGACGCACTATTTGTTGTCGTGCAAAGCTGCAGTGCACTTATTGTGGTAGAGGGACGCTTTTGGCGCTTGTAGAGGGGCGGGGGTGTAGGAAAAGGGCTGAGGAAGGGGTTTTGTTGTCAGACAGAGAGGGTGTTCTCATCTCGTTTCCGTCCTTCCCTGAAAAGGCAACCAACGCCCCCTCATCCTCCCCCTCTCGGCCTCCTGCCCTCTCCTCCCTCCAGCGCTACTGGTGCTCCTTATGTCCTTCCTGGACAGCAATGGGATCACTTTCCACATTGTGGGTGCGCTTGCACCCTGGTCTTTCTTAGAATCTAAATAGATTAGGTTAATTTTTCTCGCGGCTCACACAAAGAACGGTGTGGTCACAAATGTTCACTCTGCAAAAGAAGCTCAGGTGGTTTAGGTTGCCAGCACTTATTTAAATTCTGGAGCAAGCTCCTCAACTTCCAGTGGCATGTTGCCCAGAATCCTCATTAATGACTGCCTCTGCTCTCACATAAAAGTCTGGATGAAGTAGAAATGGGATTTAGACTTTTAAACGGATTTCAAACTGGACACAAACAGGACGTTAATAGCTTTGACCTACGTCTCATTGCGTAAGTGGCTGAAAAAGCCTGAAAACCAGTTAGCACAATTGTGAAAGCAACCATGTTGCGATGCAGGAGGGAGCACACAGTTTGTTTCCTGTTTGTGTCCCAGTCTAGCCCCTCCCTCCTCCTGTTTCCCTCTCTGGGGTTTGATTGTGCACCTGTACCTTCAGGCTCACAGATGCCCTCAAACGGATGCTGAAGTCATCATGTGTAGGAACAACACAGCTCCTTTGTGAAAACGTGTTTGTTTTTCACCAACTCTCCACGGCGGTGCAGGATGTCGCTGGATTCCTTTGCATTCTTCATGCTGACAGTTTGTGTTTCGTCACAATGATATATACAAATGCTATATCCATGTTGTTATGGAGAAGAATGAGAGGAATGTGAGCGGTTCCTTTAAAACCTAAAAACAAAGATTCTGGTTAATGAAAAATAAAACGTTTGTTTTCTTCCATTGTTTTGTTTTTATTTGAAACGTGATGTCAAACCTTGAAACTGGTTCAATTTGTCAAAAGCATTTTAACGAGAAAAGATGAAAACTGTAACAGAGGACCGCAGAATCAGAATAAATACCACGGTATACAGGATGTTTGCTATGAAAAATCACAACATTTTTCAAGTAAAATTGTCACAAAATAATGACGCTTCTTTTTAAATCTAAAAAAAACTTTGAATTACAGTTCAGTTCCATCTTGATTATGTCAGGTTTTCATACTCTAATTACATAAACTGACATGTTTATTTAATAAAATAGGACAAACCAGACTTTACTTGTTTTTATTGAGCAGTTTATTCAGTTTAATTCAATTTAATGATACAACATTAATCTGAAAGCACATCTAAGTCAGAACAGGTCCAGAGTCAAAGCCAAAGCCACCATTTGTTGTGATTGTCTACAGCGCTGATGAAACATTTCTAGGCTACGTTGTAAATATGTTTAAATTTAGCATCTTTAAATCAAATGAATACACTTCAGTCAAAGGTTTGATCAAAACTCAGATTTCACTGTCAGTCCCTAAAACTTACTCTGCTTTTATTTTGGAGACTGGAAGTTTTTCTTTGTCATTTTAGCTGCTTGATGTTTTGTGATTGTTTGTGTTACTGTTTCAATCTTAGTTGTCCTGTTGTAATTGTCCTTGTTTACATGATCGCACAGGATGTTGCTTTTGTTGTCTTGTTTGTTGACTGGCCTCATCCTTCACTCTTCCAAAGGCCCGGTGTTTTGATCAGTATGATCAATAGTGTACTCAATCTGTCTTGCCTGGTTAAACAAACAAAAAAATAAATAAGTGATAAGAAATCTTCAGCTCAATGCCTGAGAAACTCCATAGAGAAAATAAACAACTGTAGAGAGTAAAGAGAGCAGTGTGAGCAAAGTATGTCTAAACATTCAGCAGCACAACTAGAAGGGATGAGCCAGATGAGATGCAACATACAACTATGTGTCTGTCAGTGAATTTTACAAGCAAACATTAGAACTGGATTCAATGGAAAAGAAATGAAATGCACAACAAACAAGAACAACTGATGTTCTTGAAGTAGAAGATAAGGGCTGTTTGATTGTTGCTGCTAAATAAAGTTAATTTAGGAAGAAATTTGTTCTTTTTTTTCTCTATGGAACCATTAATTCTGCAATGCTTTCTTGTAGGTTTGTCTTGTTGCTTATTAATGGTCTCCAGAAATGGTTCTTAATGGATTTTGGAAGATGTTTTGTTGCTTTTCACCATTTTTACACACATTTTTGTACTTGATCATCTCTATTTTCAAGCACAGAACTTGAATAAACCAGTGTTGTGTGCACAAACAAATGATTTCTGAGGAAGAAAATACACATTTAATTTGTAAGCACTGAAGGGTCTTGCACCTGTCTGACCTGCTCATGCCCCATGTGCCGGTGCGCTCACTGAGATCAGCTGACCGTTTGCTACTATGCACTCCAACCATGAACTATAAAGCAAGGAGGTCCGGGCCTTTGTCTGTGTTGCCCAAGTCCTCTGGAAGGCACCCATCACAAAACGACAGTGATCTTCTGTCTTCACATCACAGTTAAAGACCCACTTCTATTGTTTGGCTTTTGGACAATGACTACTTTTAATTTTGTTTCCCCCCCATCTTTTAATAGGTTTTTTGTTGTTTTTGTGTGTATTTATTGACTTTTTGACCAGTTTTCAAAAAATCTCTGATTGTTGCCTGTGCAGCACTTTAGTCAGCTTGCATGCTGTTTTGAAATGCGCTCTATGGTATGGTATATATACATATATATATATATATATATATATATATATATATATATATATATATATATATATATATATATATATATATATATATATATATATGTATATATATATAATGTGTGTCCAGTAGCTTGGCACTAAGAATTTGACCAGTTTGGCAGACATACATTTATGTTTTTGCACTAACTACAGTGTTTCCTATGAGCTGCTAATAGCTACTAATACAGAGTAAGAATCTGTTTAGAAACGATGCATCTTTTAGCTACTCAATCATTGTTAATTTGAGTTGAAAAACAAGAGCAAACTTCTTCAGAAATAACCCATTAAATCACACACACACACACACACACACACACACACACACACACACACACACACACACACACACACACACACACACACACACACACACACACACACACACCACTGGATCCAGTGCCACATCTGCAGACGGTGTAGGAGTGGTTTACAGTAAAACCACTGGTGCTTCAGTGAAATTACAGAAGTAAATCACAACACTCGCAGTCTGCTCCTTCCCAGATGTGCCTCTACTTTTGTTTTTAGTAAGAGCGTGGGCAGCTCACGTCCCACCTCAGACCTCTGTTGGCTTAACGCTTTATTGGTTGGGCTGAGAGGCAAAGTGGGCATTTCATACAAATATAGAGCAGAAAGAGGAAGAATGATTGCCTACGCTGGGTTACGTGCATGTGTGTATCACTGACTCTTTGTAAATATTTACTTTCCATGGGCCGCCAGCTTTAACTAGAGTGTAAATTAGGACTTGAGAGGCAGGATAATGGAGGCAAAGAGACTTAGATGATAGATTAGTTTTGGGTCTTCTCTGCAAACGTACACGATGCTGCCACATCTCCATGGTCGTTCTTATTTTCACCCACACAAAACTGTGCAAGTTTCCAAAGAAGTGCAAGTCACTGCAGCTAAATCCAAATGTCAGTGATTCACATGATTTACATTTGTTCAAAGCCTGTTTTTGGCAGGACGTTGAGATGTCTTCTGACTTTTCCCAACCACTCTTCTTAAAGCTTTAGTTTACGCTCTAACTGCAAAGGATAAAAAACAAGTTTATTGACATTCTCAAAGCAGCAGAGTAGTGTCGAACGGTGAGTAACCTACATGTCTCTTCTCCCTCTCCAAAGAGGAAGTGAGGAGGTGTCTGTGAGTGTGTGAAAAAATATGGGTCATTCACGTCAAACTGAATGTATGCCTCCTTCCTCAGAGGATATCTGTGTGTTTGACATGGAAGCAAAAGGTGCATGCAGGAAACAGGTCATCTGTCTTGCTGCCATCCATCACATGTGTGTGTGTGAGAGAGAGAGAGAGAGAGAGAGAGAGAGAGAGAGAGAGAGAGAGAGAGAGAGAGAGAGAGAGAGAGAGAGAGAGAGAGAGAGAGAGAGAGAGAGAGAGAGAGAGAATAAATGGAGAAAATTAGAAACAGGGTGTCTGGATCCTTTTGGCAATGCAAAAGTAAAAACTTGTCAAGAGTCCAGTTGTACTCTGGTTTCTCTTTTAGTTTGAGTTATATAACCAGGTGACAACAACAGTTCTCCTTCCTAGTGATGCTGTCCTGCAGAAGTGAGAACTCGATCCATGCCAAACAAATGAGGAGTGCAGTAAAGGGACAACTGTTATCATCCGATGCACAACGATTATTCTCCTTCCACTCATGCATTTGCAACAGTGCCTGACAGCAGGAGAAAGCACTCACAGATGACGACTGACGTTTGAACCTTAGTCATCGATTGCACAACCAGCCACCTGCATTGCATTTCCCCTGTTATTATGGACACACAACACATATCAAACTGACAAAAGTCATTTTAGACACTTGAAATGACTCATAATGAAACTGCTTGTCATTAAAAGGCCGTTGTTGCTGAAATGACCCCTTTCTATCGCTCTAATATGAGGTTTGGTGGTGAAACAGGTCCCTTCAAGGAAAAGAGCGACGCTTTTAATGGTGAACATGTGAACGAGTGGGAGGTGGTGTCGTTAGAATGTGTTTGGGGTTTGATCTGGTCGGTTCTGGAATCAGTGTGACTCACTCACTAAAGAGCCAAAACATTGTTAAATCTGATCTGATGTCTGCTGAACTGGCTAAAAATGAAAATAAATACATTTCTATTATTATCTCCTAAAATATTTGTATAGAACAAACAGCCAAACATGGAAAGGTCAAGGAAAAATGGGAGCAATGAATGATGTTTGCATGCTTGCTCTCTGCAGTCTTGTTATTTTTGTGACCTTTTCTGCAAAGTGAAAAACAGATTGCCCCCATGTCGCCTCCAGATGGGGTCAGGGGGCTTCCAGTAGCTGAGTCAAACCTCTTACTGGAAGTCCTGAGTCACCCGTCTTCCTCTGTGGCTCCCTTCATCCCTGCTCCCGATTTATCCCACACATTTCAACAGGGCAAGAGAGCCTCTCTTCAGACCACTTGTCCTTTTTTAAAATAAATGTAAAGCACCACTGAACTCATTTGAATGCAAGATTTCTTCTGTATTTGCTCGTTCTACATGCTACATCGCCCAAAATGAGGTGCATTTGTTCACTGAAAAAATGTACAATAAAAGCGTCCCCAAAGACTCATTATACCTCTGCCCCCTCCCCGATTGCCCCCTAAACCCCCTATTCCCGAACTGCAATGATCTCACCCAGCTGTCACTGTGTAATCCCATCCACACTCGCTGCAGCACGCACATTTTCTGCTGCTGCTGGCGGCTGACATCACTTGTTATGTCTGTGTCACCGTTTCACTGAAATCCAAAATACAAAGGTTCTGGACTCAAAGTGATCAAAACCTAGAATTTTTCATCTAAGGTAGTTTTGTTTTTATACTGCAGGGTGAAAATAATCCCAACTGAATAGGAAGTGCAAAGCCAGCAGGTCATGTGAAATTAAACAAAAACAACAATCTAAGAGCTGAAGAAGCTGTGATTTTCACCCAGGAGGTTAAAGTTCAAATCCCACCCCGGCGCAGTCGCCCTGATTCATTTATTTGAAACTTTATTTCTAGACAAGGTTTCGATTTTAATCCCAGATGAATTCAGTTTTGAGTCACTGTGTTTCACAGTTATAAACTCATACAACATTTTGGGGGTTTCTCTCGCTTGCTCCATAATAACAGTTTCTCTGAACAATTAAACCTAAAATAACACAAAATCTCAGTTTCTCAGCTTTCTTTGGAGTAATGCCGCCATGAAAATGAGAAAAACACAGCTAGATTTGGCTCTTTATGACAGAATCCATGATTACAAAACTTGTTTGAAAGCTTTACCATGACTTACATAAAGACTAACACTAAACACCCCACAAATGAATTAGTAAAACTAAAAAATGTTTGGTTTTTAATCATTGCTTTTCACTTCTCCACATATTTCCTTGAGTTCCAGATGGCCACTGTAGGAAAAACTGATACAGACGTGAGCGGACCATGAAGTTTTACTCTGCAACTCAATGAGAGATAATCTCATTCTTATTACCACTGGGATGAGATGCATGCTTTTGCATGTTTGTGTGCATGAGTGCTTTTGTCTCTGCGCATTTACAATCCATGAATAGATGAGTGCAACCGGAAGCTGTGTGCCGGGGCGCTTGGTGTAGGAGTGTAGGAGTTGGATCATTGAAATGACAAGACCCCGCAGCCCGAACGAGTCAGAAATCAGCTATTCTCGCCTGAACGGTGATGTGTCAGAATGTAAGAGGCGTCAGCGATCAGAAAACCGAGTGCTGCCCACAACCTCGGGACCAAGCTATGCTGCAAGTCTAAAGCAGTGTTTATGTAATTTGATGTTTATACAAGTAAGAGAGAAGGGGGGTGTTTGAGTGGATGGGATGGATGGGAGCAGTGCTGTGGTAATGGAGGGGGCGAGTTCATCTCTCTTTAATTGTCATTTTTCAAGTGAAATTAGACAGTTGGAGAGAACTTTGTATAAATATTTACAAACATTCTGAAATTAAGATGAAAAAAGGACAAAACAGAAAAGTGGACAAAGAAAACTCTGTTCCTGTTTTTACGTGAGAATATAATCTTAATAATGCTCTGGGTTTGCTTCAATTTAAGGGATAACGCTGTGTTATGAGTTGAGTAACGTCTCTAAACTTGTGGGATGGTGAAATCCGTTAAAACCTCTTAGGAGAAGCGGATTATGAGAGTAAACACACATATACACAAGTCAGGTGTAATTTAATGGCTTAGCAGAGCTGCAGAGTCGGCATATGTGAACAAATAAAGTTAACTGTGCTCACTTTAACCACTCCCAAACATTTTTTTTAGCATAAAGAGACTCAAAATGCCTGTGAAATCATCTTTAAAAGGTTTTATGTTGTAATTTATCATCAAACACACCAACAGACTCATTAAACCCACTCTTACTTTCATTACTACACAATAAATAAGTTCTTAAGCTCACAAACTATCATTTTGTTAATTTCCATTCCAAGCTTCAAAAGACTTCAAAGGACACATGTAGCATTATTTATGTGATATATGATGCAACTATGAGAAGTTGTTGTTTTCAACTTAATGAGAGAGATTTATACCAATGTATCATTTAAATGTCTGAATACTCTGGATCACAATCACTTCTTTCATCACAAATTACTGTAGCTCAGGAAGTAGAGCAAGCAATCAGAGGGTTGTCGGATTGATCCTGGCTCCTGGCAGCGAATGCTGCTGTCGTGTCCTTGGGCAAGACTCTTAACCCACGTTGCCTGCTGGTGTTGGTCGGAGGGGCCGGTGTAACGCAACCTCGCGTCCATCATGTGTCCCAGTGCAGCTGTGGCTACATCGTAGCTCATCCCCACCAGTGTTGGAATGTGTGTGCATGGGTGAATGACTGATTGTGTTTTGAAGCGCCCTGGGGGGTTCTATGACTCTAGAAGGCGCTATATAAAAGGTCATTCACCATTTACTTCAGAACTACAGTCCAGCGTGGACGAGGGAGTGTGCTGCCGGTCTCCATTGGTTCATGGTAGAGAGGGGGCATGACGCAAATTAAAGTACTTTTGAAACATTTTAGAAAATATTGTGGATTAAAAAGTACAGATAATTCCTTTAAAGTGCAGTGGAGTAAAAGTAAAAAGTAGGGATCAAGATACATAAATGTAGAGAACAGATAATTTAAATTGTATTTAAAGTGGCGGTGTGTAGTTTCCTGGCACCAGGGAGCAGTACATACATATTTTAGGGTAGTTTTACACCACATGACTGTCGCTAGTTTAAACAAACATTACGGTAAATGTTGCTGCTACCTGTGGAACAGAAAGCATGTGACTTCGGTGTGACTCCTCAGACTTTGGTGGTCCTTCAAGGCAAGGCAGCTTTCTGTATAGCACATTTCATATGACATGGGTATAACTTGTCTTATACAGGTAAAAACGTGTAGTGAAGATAAATCTACCTACATTAGACTTTTCAAACACTTTTGTTTGTTTTCTTGTTTTTATTTGACTATTTTCCTGTCCTGTCTGTCTCTCATCTTCCTGCATCTCTAAACTCTCCAGAAAAACTGCTGCCTGGCTTCTGACTTTTTTACCTCATGAGTTACTTTTGAACTATGCAGCTCAAAGGGATCTCCTGACCGCAAAACAGAGTGCACGTTTCGATGCTGCGTCAGTGAGGTGAAATCACTGCAGCACCTGATGATGAGTGCGTCAGAAATGATTAAAAGACAGAGTACCAGAGGACATGAACGATCAGGTGTTAATTATAGTGTTTTGGTTGCGCCACTTTGAGAATGTACCGTGCGCAGAACACAGCCGCCTGGAGCGCACCAACAATCAGCGCTCTGCCGCTCTCTGTGCTCTCCACTCAAAAGAACCCCCGGTATACGCTGAGTCCATATAAATGATGTAATATGGGTGGAAACATTTTCCCGGCTCTCCCTGGATGTGTAGGATATCCAGCTCCCCCATAATTTGATCCCTGCTCCTAGATGAAAAACCAGACATTGTCATCAATACAAGACCCCCCACCCCCCCGGACAGAGAATGAAAGTGGACAAACCTCCTGGTTTGATGCCAGCTCTGGCTTTCTCCACGCAATTTATGTAAGATTTCAACATGAAACGGGAGACTGTCTTAAATGCGAGACAGAGCCTGGTCATGCTGCTCTCCAGGCCAGCGCATGTCGGAGTGGTGGTGGTGGGGGTGCGTTCAATAGTTGGGGTTGCTAAGCCATTGCTTGGTCCAATCTTTGCGTTGCTTTAGCAACCCCTATCTACCGCCTGGCACCGCCCATGAATGAAAGGTTAGAAATACACACTGTCACTTTAAGTACACTATATCATAAGTACAAGTATTTTGTTTCAGTCCATCACTGGCAGCTTGCACACCTGAAGATGCCCTCTAATTATCTCCCTTTTCCAATTACTGGTAAGAAACACATAGAAAGACCCAGAACTTGCTGGAGGGATGAGGTCCTAGAGAATGCCGAGTGGCTGGATGCCTATGAGCTGGAGGGTGTGCTGTGAAAAAGGGACTTCTCTCTATGGATGGATAAAACAATGTAACTTAAATCTTATTTTAAATCAGATGGACTGACCTTTTAACAAAAACAGAGCTGTGTTGTACAACCTTGGGTTAAATTTGAGTCTTCATCTTTTCTGGGTGGATTTGGTTTGTTTTAATACTTCAGCTCCATCTAAGAAAGCATCAGTGAAGTTTATGCTGATTTCTTTTTTGCGGAGTATGACCTTAAGAGGATGCATGGTTTAGGATGAATAATGATCTTATGTAAAGTTTGGTGGAGCCCTGGAAATAAGAACAGAGCTGCAAATGAGTCAGTCCTCAATGCTAGCTTTAATTTGATGGCAGACAAGGTTCCTTGCAATCAAAGAAGCATAATAAGAGAGAGATGATGGTTTAAGTAAATATTTTTTCTAGATTAAAGTTTTCATTATTATCTCACCTACATAAACACCATAAAGTAAGGCCAAGTGTATTATAGATCAAAGTGAATGAATGAATCCTAAGTCAAAATTTCTTCATGACTTTCAAAATAAAATGCTTTGTAATTGATAGGTTTGATAACTGCACAACTAAAAGGTGCTATCCTTACAACTTCTTGCCTTTTAAGTGGCTGGGACCAGCACACAGCTCCACACATTCCTGGAGGGAAACCTTACACCTTCCATAACTCAGCTTTCCAACAAAAACACCGGCTCCTCTGGCAGCTCTGAAAAGAGAGAACTGGACCGAGGGGCGAGTCAGCCAATCACAATCTCTGAAAGATTCGATTTTTTCATACCTCTTCGGTGATTGGTTAGTGCCTTCCCGAGAGACTACCACCTTCATCTCGTGATTGGTCAGTTTTCCCGGCTCCCTGAAAGTCATTTGAATACGCTTGCTTTGTGGCTCAGTCAATGCAGCTCTGTTGGTTCAAATAAATGACTCGAGTTGCAGGAGCGGAGACACACACACACACAATGGACGAGAGGAGTGCACGGACACACTGCTGTTAGACATCTGATTCCTATCGTGAGAAGGCATTGCAAGCTGATTAATTTGTTTTGTTCGGCTATTTAAAACGTTTTTAACTCGGACTTTCGCAACACGAGAGGTAAGCTAATGTTTTCCTGCTAAAACAAAAATAGCATTTGTTTAAACGTAGCCACTTTAGCATGTTATTAACTCTCCTAAGTCTAGAAAGTGTTGCTAAATGACCAAAAATGTCATTAATTCTGAAAAGTAAAGATAGAAAGTGTTGTTTGCTATGCTGTGATATATAGATTCATCTTCTTTTCGGGTTTCATGGGTTTGTTGTTGTTATTGTTTACCACCCATGTGAGTTTATAATTAGGCAGTCAGACAGAAGCCAACATTACTCACCAGCACCTGCGATGGGACGCTGCTGCTCAGCACGGCTCCTTCACAGCCAGCCTTTACTTTTTACGCTCCTATGACTCAGTTAGGAGCCTGTAATGTAGAACAGGCGTGTGTGTGTGTGTGTGTGTGTGTGTGTGTGTGTGTGGGGGGGGGGGGGGGGGGGGGGGGGGTAATTATCTTTTTTTTTTTTTACAGTCACTGGGAAAAGCAGAGAAAAGTGTGTGTGTGTGTGTGTGTGTGTGTGTGTGTGTGTGTGTCATTTTCTTTTTGTACAGTCACTGGGATAAGCAGAAAACAGTGTGTGTGTGTGTGTGTGTGTGTGTGTGTGTGTGTGTGTGTGTGTGTGTGTGTGTGTGTGTCATTTTCTTTTTTTACAGTCACTGGGAAAAGCAGAAAAGTGTGTGTGTGTGTGTGTGTGTGTGTGTGTGTGTGTGTGTGTGTGTGTGTGTGTGTGTGTGTGTGTGTGTGTGTGTGTGTGTGTGTGTGTGTGTGTGTGTGTGTGTGTGTGTGTGTGTGTGAAGCTTGGCCATCCTGACTTGAAAAAGAGCTCTATCCCCTGCTCACACACCTCTACGAGCCAGTTTCCAGCACTTTCCAAGCAGTAGCTGTGGGCTGCTGCTGGTGTGTATCTGGTTTGTGAATGCTTCCATGTTGCTGTGAGGCAGTGGTGTGTGTTCTCTTGTCAGATTTATACGGAACATAAAAGGTGCCTTATATACCCTCAGGGCAGTCAGGGCAGATAAAGTGTCTCCATCCTTCCTGGTTCTGAGTTAATGTTGTACTAGTCTCCTAAACGACGAGCTGTGTTGATGCTTGAACGCTCTGTTGGCTAAATTGTATCTGTGATCTGAGTTTGGTGTTCAGCTCTGTTTGCTTTATCAGATGGAGTGGCTGCTTTTAAAAACGTGGTCTCTGATTCTGATGTTTTGACAGCGGCTGCAGGTCTCTTCTGACCCCACACGCTTCCTCCAGTGTTTGTTTGGGCTCTGAGCTATTTCCTCCTACTTTAACCGGGTACTCTGCCATTAGTGACATGCAAAAATCTGGTGGTGATGAGTTCAGAGGGTCGTGTAAACAAAAAAAAAAAAAAAAAAAAAAAACAACCCTGCTCCCAATTTTCACCTTTCTCTTTTTACCTTTAAATAGGATTTACACAAAAACTATGATTATTTAAAGTTGTTTAATTCTGCCTTTTTGCATCAAAGAGCTCAAAGAATTTCATCTTTAATTCGGTGTTACACTTTGTAAATGCACTGCAGAATTTCAGCATTTTCACCTGCTTCATGGGGAGCATGCTGTGCATGACAACGGAGCTGGTTAAGCAGGTTAAACTTGTTCCATACTTTCATGTGAGACTCGTTTTGACACCTGACCTTCTGTTTTGATCCAAGTTTGGTTAATAAAGACATTTTATAGTATACAGGGGAACCCAAAAATTGCTGGTAATTTAAATAATAGTCACTCTGAAACTTCAAAAACAGAAGATTTCTTTTGTTTTTGCTTTTTTCCTTGGGCCAGTGGAATATACCATTATAAAGATAAAGTCCCATTAGTCATCACACACTGGTGAAATTACACCTCTGCATTTGACCCATCCCCATGGGGAGCTGTGGCTGCGATCAGGAACTATTTGGTGGTTTAACCCCCCCAATCCAACCCCTTACAGCTAAGTGTCAAGCAGGGAGGCATTGGGTCCCATTTTTAGTCTTTTGTTTGACCCGACTGGGATCTATCTCCCAGTCCCTTGGTGGACACTACCACTAGGCCACTGAGAAGGTAAAGCATCAATTAAAAAATCCCTTAAAACCATCTGTAATATTTTATAGTTTATAAATCGGGCCCCTCCAAAAGGGGGCCCGGGGGCCATTTGTGGCCCCTGTAGTAATTTTGTGCGGCCCTCAATTGATTTTCTAGAATGATTAATTTAGTTTCTCACGTTTCCGTACTGTGATACTTTCTAACATTTTTACTAATATGTCTATTTTGGACACATTTTGAGGAGTCCACGTTGAAAACAAATTCCCATGATACATTTTTTTTCTCTTTTTTTTAATGAGTAAAAATCACAAGGACCTCTAAATTTGGACCACTTTGGTTTAAATGCATAAAATGTATTTAGGCACTGTAAGGTTATGATTAGAGGAGATGATCAGAAGTCTTGAAAACATATTTTCCAACTTCATATTTTGGTTTGAAACACAGTTTGGTTTACCTCAAGGTTTTTTTTGTGGCTTTAACAGAAACACCTTTTTTAGAATGTAATCTTTTTATATGAGATTACATTACTTTTGGTGTTTGACGAAAGCACATCAACAGCATTTAATAAAAGTTGAGTAAAATGTAGCAACATGTAATAAGCAGCTTATCTCTTACATCACTATCAGATGTAATCGAAACTGTGTTCAGTTTACAAGTTTCAGCTGAGTTTGTTGTAATTAAAACGTGTAAAACTAATTCACCAACTTTTTATCCGACAACGATAAACCAACCTACAACGTGTGTTTTCTACACATCGCCAGACGTCCTCGTGTACGTAATCAGAGCGCAGGTTGCACTTTGATCCCGGTTTTTTGAAACCAATTACTCAGAGTAAGAGGAGTCGGATCAGAATGTATTTCTTGCTCACACCTCATATCTCCCCCAGCTTATTAGAGCCAAAGTACATCAGGTGCAGATAGCACTGCTCTGAATTAGCCTGTTTGCGCTCTGACTATCGTTTTACGAGTCCTCTTATCAGATGTAGACTATTCCTTTAGCTCAGAAAACATTTTAAGTGTCCACTTTGTGTTAACCTTTGGTACAAGCTGAACTTCACCCTTTCCACAGACAGGAGAGCTTCACTTGAACTTATTCAAAAGCCCCCTGCCTTCAGATACTTGACTGAATGTCCCGTTCATGCTTCACAACTACTCTGGAAACATTATAACAAGTTGCTGTGTCTGAATTTGATTAGACGTCTCAAAAAGCCAGGAGTGATTCTCTTCCAGCTGCTTGTGAGAGTCATTTTGCAGCGAGTAAGCACAAATCTGAATGAGCACGTTAGTCACAGACTTTACATACCATTATTCATATGCAGTACGCGCACAAATGTAAAACCTCAAAGTCTATTTTGCACAGTTTTACAGTCCCTGCTGTCCTTGAGAAGTTTTGAACCACATGCCTGACATATTCTTAAATCAGTGTAGCTACGGTATGTTCCTGTACCAAGGCCACAAAGACAAATTCCTTCATGTGTTATGCACATATAAACACCATGACATCACCAAGAAAAGCCATAATGAGAGCTTCTAGCATGGAGAGCCAGAAAGTTCACTTTACTCGTTTGGTGGAAGAAGATTCCCAGCCTGGTCTCCTGTGAAGCTGGGGCGTCACACATCATGACGGCAATGATGAGCAGTGTGTGTGAAAGCTGCTGTGTGTGTCGGATCTGCTCTGATCTCTTCCTGGAGGTCTTTGTGTGTTTGTTAATGCCGTGACAGAAGAGATAATACCTCTATTGTTGAAGAACCCCCGTCGACCTGTTGGGCTCAGCACTGCTGGATTTAAAACCACATTGAATGTATGTCTTTGAGGTGCACTGGCAAAGTGGAAGAGCATTTCTAAAGTTCTTCTGGGATGAGAAAAAGTTATAATACTTTTTTTTCTGTTGATGTAGTTAAAACATCAAGCTATGCTGTTACCTGTTTACCGCAACGATGGAAAAGCTACAAAGTCCCTTCCTACTGGGGCCGTTTCAGACGTGCAGTGGCTCTGGATGCCTTTCACGCAGCTGATCCTGCAAGATCACACGTGATTTTGCCAGTTCACGTCATAACAAGCAAGGAGAAAGATGCAAACATGCATTCAAAACATCTGGTGCTACACTTTACAAATGTTACGCGACACTCATCTGGTGAAAAGCCGGGGTTAGATGATGATACTTGCCTGCAGCGCATTAAACCGTTTGATGAAATGCATTTTCGTTGATTTAGGCAACATGCTTAATATTTACCTTCTCAGTGGCCTAGTGGTGTGAGTGTCCGCCCTGGGACGGGAAAATCGGGGTTTAAATTTAGTCGGGTCATACCAAAGACTTAAAAAACGGGACCCAATGCCTCCCTGCTTGAATCTAGGGCTGAAACGATTCCTAGAGTACCTCAAATAATTTGAGTACAAAAAAGCCTCGAGTCAAATTCTCTGCCTCGAGTCTTCGTTTAAGTGACGCACATACACACTGTACTGAATGCACACGCGAGTAGCAAATGTAACTTAACGTTCTCTTAAGCCATGGCGGACAACGTGGACTCCGGTGGAGTGTGAAAAAACAGAAAATGTCAAAGGTGCGGGACCATTTTTCACTTCGTAAGGCGGAAAACGTAGTCCAGTGTAAATACTGTAAAATGGATTTAGCCTACCACAACACCACATCCTCCATGCTGCAGCACCTGACCAGGAAACATCCACATGTAAATGTCTCTTCTGCAAGCGGACTCGGAGCCTCTACAAGATAATGCATTTTAGCCTGTATTTCTATATATTCTGCAGACACTGTGCGACATTTTCGTTTGTAGCAGACAGTTTCAGCTCACACTGTGCATCTGGTAGCAACACGTCGGACCTAAAAATGTGCAAAAAATAGCAGTTTTTACACAACATGTCTGACTTTTTATTGTGTTGTTATTGATGTCTGTTGTCCCTCAGGATTGCTGCAGGAGGACACGGGTATTTATGAGAGGAAAACAAAATAAAGTTAATAAATGTTTTGTGATCAGTATAATTTACATAATCAGGGCAAACATGCTTTCTCAACAATCCTTTTTATTGTGTGAGAAAAAAGTGTAGAACTTAAAACGGACGTGTGTTAATAGGGAAACAGCTGGCGAGCCATGTTTGAGCGGTTCTGGTGCTGTTTGGGCCGCAGCCACTCACAATTGTTTACTGTGAAGTAAAGTTGAAGTGCTGAAGTTCTGAAAACTAATTTTGAATAAAACTTGAAGAGTTACTGGTAATTGCATGCTCATTTTAAGAGGTCTTTCATATTTTATAACAGGCTATTTGATGTAATGGTTTACAAACACAAAAGGGTCATTTATTAGAGTAGTCAATTACAAAAATATTCAATAGCTGCAGCCCTACTTGACACTCAGCTTTAAAGAGATAAATTGAGGGGTTAAACCACCTAATAGCTCCCGAGCGCAACCACTGCTGCAGCTCACCGCTCATCTAGGGGATGGGTCAAATGCAGCGATGTAATTTATGTCACCAGTATGTGATGGTGACTGATGGGACTTATTTGTGCTTTTTGATATTGAGAGCCAAAAAGCTCGCTGATGAAACATTGTGCGAGGTTTAGTTTAAGAGCAACGAGTCATTTTGTTGTACTTTTCTGCCTTTTACGTTATAACCACATCAAACCACCTCACAAGGCTGCGATTTTCAGAGTTTACAAGCAAGAGAATGTAAACAATCCTTTTAGTATGAAACTATGCTCTCAGTGCCGTTTTTAATCCATCCACAAAGAGTCCAACCTATGATTTAGAGACGGTAGAATGTCGAGGCTGCAGCGTGGAAGCCACAACGATCCGAAGGGTCAAAGATTCAGGAAGTCAGTCTGGAAAAATCATGATTGGTTTTGAGTTCAGGGATGTGTTTTCCTTTGCTTTCTTTTCAGAGACATTGGAAAAGGGTAGAAAAGGGGCAGCCAGACTGGAGAAAGTTCTTCTCCTTTGGTCCTTATCTCTGCAGGACCACAGATGAGTGTATTTGTCTTTTAATAAGGGAGGTAAAGACGCTGTGATCTTTTAAGAGTTAGAAGAAGAACAGAAAGCTGGGATCACAGAGTTCAGAGTTGGACTGGCTTACAGAGGCAGGATGCCAAAAACTCTGGTATACATTTGTGTGTGTGTGTGTGCATGGATTATAATGGCATGAGGCTAGGCGCCAGGGTGGACAAATGTGTGTGTATAAGATGTTGGGTGAAGCACACACTCCTCTGTTGGCACAGTCATGGACAAACAAAAGTCTTCTGGATTCCTGTGGGGTTTCTGGCGCGGTGCGTGTGTGTACGTGTATGTGCACGAGCATGCTGTGCAAAAGGAGACAGCAGTAGCTAGGTAAAGATGGCTGCAGAGTTAAGGCACGCTTTGCTGATGATCTGGGATCAGCTTACCAACCTCAGATCCAATTATCTTAACCGTTAAGACCGAAAATCGTCGCTGACTTGAGATCGTCCATCTGTCATGCTGTGTTTTGTTGTTTTCTTTCTCCCCACACATGCTGCGTGGTTGCCAACAAGTGAACTTCAAGAATGTGACAAAGGATGAAAGAAAGCTAGGGCAGTGGAAAAATCTGTGCTTTTTAGGCTGATTTGTAAAAATTTCCACAACAAATGGGCTTGTTTTGGTTCCAGAATACTTCCAAATGTTGCTATCACCAAATAATAAACAGAGGAGGGCTGGTATTATGTGATCAAGTGTGATTATTGTCACAGACAATGGTAAGTCTCGCCTTTTGTGTGACGGAGCCGCTCAAACAGATATTTTCACAATCGCTGAACGCAGTTTAAACATCAACCAGATTCCCAGAGCATGAGGTGGGCTGACAGGGAATAATAGCAGGAAATGTGTAACACTACAGGAGGCATTAGCAGATATGACTTTGTCTTTGTGTTTACTGAAGGATAGGCAGTTACCCGTGGCAGCATCGACGGTGTGAGCTCAGATACTGGTGAGAACTTATCATTAAAAGCATAAACTGTTTTGTTCTTTCTGTTTTCCTGTAATCAATGTCAGTTTTAATTGTTTGGCTAAGAAAAACACAAAAACATGTTTCCCCTTCCTTCTTGGTTTCTGTTTTCTTCCTTTAACATCCCTGGGACTCTTCGTTTGTCCACAGCTCTAAACTTAGGGTGGACACTGTTCACAATCAAAGGAATTTTGTTATAAAGTTGTCATCAAAACACCAAATGAAGGACAATTGTTATGGAACAATGATGTCTCCATTCTCCAGAGAGGTTTAGAGGGTTAGAGCTGATCCTATGGCACGTGGTAGATCCAAAACTTTAACAAAACACCAAAAGGAGGCAATTTATAGCTTTTTAACAAGTGGGAGCAATTTTTTCATGTCTGAAAGGAGCCTTGTTTACAGCAGCTGGTTTTAAGTGGGTGGAGTCAACCACAGCTCCTCCCCTTGCTTATTTATACCCATAAGTTGGACCCTAAACTTAAAGAGATTTCTTCATATCTAGATTTTATTTATTAACTGCCACCTCCGTGTTTAACTGAGTGTTGGATGGAAATTATGTTCCTTGAAGTTAAATTCCTCATCCTTGTGTTTTGACAGGTCGTCATGCCTCCCACCACTCCTCATGCAGGGAAGTTCAACTCCTGCCCTCCTTACAGTAACAACAACCATCCTCAGCCTCAGAGCCCGTACCGAAGCCACACCGCGCCGAAGCCTTCGAGGGAGAACGTGTACAACGGGGCCTACTCCGTGGCCGAAAACCCCTACGATGTACCGCAGCCTCACGCTGCCTATCGCAGCTGCTCGGTTTCCTCTGTGAATGCGAATGAGCACCATTACAGCAGCAGCTGTGCCATTTCGGGGAACCCATACTCTTTGCCGCAGCCCCAAAGCCCTCGCCAGCACAGCACTTCCTGTCCGGGCCGGGCGTACCGTCACACGAGCAACTGCAGCAGCAGCAGCAGCAGCGACCAGTCCTGCCGTAACAGCGGGTCCTCAGCAAAAGCTCGGCTTTGTGGGCACAGCATCACTGCCAGCTATGGGGAGATGTGTTACCATGACAACAGTTTGGTTTCAGCTTCGCTCGAGGCGCTGATCCAGCACCTGGTTCCTACAGTGGACTACTACCCTGATGTAAGGCCCAGCAGATGTCACCTTGAGGAGTTATTCAGTAACCTTTTAATAGATTTATTCAGTCCGTGGTTAGATTCCCTAAAAGCTGTTTTTGTGTCCTGGTCTTCAGAGGTCATACGTGTTCACCTTCCTGCTGAGTTCACGCCTCTTCCTGCACCCCTATGAGCTGATGACGAGGGTTTGTCACCTGTGTGTGGAGCAGCAGCGGTCCGGAGATGCTCTGCTGGATAAGGTGGGTGGATCACACGCACACACACACACACACACACACACACACACACACACACACACACACACACACACACACACACACACACACACGCACGCACGCACACACACACACACACACACACACACACACGCACACACACACACACACACACACACACACACACACACACACACACACGTGTGCAGGTGTAATTGTTTCACACGCTTTCTCTCTCACTTGCTTCCACTCAAACTCGCGCCCACCATCAAACCTACAAACTCAGGATAAAACAGACCGACCCTAAAGCACAAAATCAAAAGCATCTACTCGAACACAATCACGTTTTAATGAAACTCTGCTGTTGGGGTTTTAGATCCGCTTTCGTGAGGTGGCACCTAAACTGGTCCAGCTTTTGACGGAGTGGACAGAGACGTTTCCGTACGACTTCAGAGACGAGAGGATGATGCGTTGCCTTAAAGACATGACGCTCCAAGTGGCTCGAGGGGATGAGGTCAGCATCAGCAGTGATACATTAAATCTTTAGGATGAAGTCTCCCCGCCGTGATTCTGATGTTGTGTTATGATCAGTATTCCTGGAGGGCCATGCAGCAGATGACCCAGCGTCTCATCAAGCGCCTGTCTGCTCTGGGTCAGTATGAGGAGGCCGTGGCGGCGCTCAACGCCGTGGCACAGGAGCGTCCCACCTCTCTGAAAAGCAAACAGACGTCAGCTCAGCGGAGCGATATTCTGAGCGTGTGCGATGATCCCTTCATCCTCGCTCAGCAGCTAACACACATCGAACTGGTATGTTAGACCCACCATCATTGTTTCATGAGTTTATAATGCTCCTTAAAGCTGGTTAAACTGGGAAGGTCATCCAGTTTGGGGTAGTTTTCCTTCCTCTCTGAATCTCAAAATCATTTCTCCATTTTCTGCCTCCAGGACAGACTGAGCTTCATCGGCCCGGAGGAGTTCATACAGTCATTCGCTATGAAGGATCCTCTGGAGAACCACAAGGTGCGACTAAGTTTGGGTGAAGACCTCTCTAGGGTAGAGATGACATCAGATCATGAAGGCTAGAGGAGATGGTCTTCAGGGCTAAGAGGCACATTTAAACTAACTGATTAAAATCTGTTTAGACACGTTATTTGGCTTTAATTTTTTATTGTGTAAACTCAAAAGATGAAATTAAATTTATTGTGTTTGCCTTGATTTGCAGCAGATTTTCATCTCCTCTGTGTGAGATGAAGGGTGTTTGTTCCCATGCAGCAGCAGCATATTGTTCAGCTATTTAAAGGAACTTTAAAAATAAAGCTAACCAACCTGCTTGTAATTGTCAGCATCAAAGTGCTGGCAGAAAAACCGCACATGTTTTCTAAGTCATTTGTTGTTATTCTGATTTGAAGCTTTCTCTGCTGCTGCGCCGACTGTAGGCCGTGGTTTGCTTCAAGTTCATTTGCTTTAGGAACCACATGAAAGCGTGTCCTGGCATTATTTTTATCCCGGCGTTTGATAATGTCTGAATCTCGGAGTAAAAGAGCCTCGCTGTGCACGTCTCCGTTCGTCTGAGGGGGCGTTCTCTCCATCACAAGTGATCCTACAAATCAGCTGAAGGGTCGTTTTCAGGCGGCGCCGCCGTTACATAAGCCCTACTTTGTGTAAAAGAGCGGTTGAGTCAGAGAAAAGGGGTCCTGAGGTGTGGAGGGGGAGAGTTGGGAGTGGAGTGGGATGCCGGCGTTGTGTAAGCTTTTAATAGTCATGAATCCCAGGGATTGCATCACCACGGCCGAGTGGAGTTTATTTATACGGAGCTTTTATAATGGCTTTTTCTTTATGTAAGGCCACCTTTGGAGGGCGGGCTCGCCCCGTAGAAACCACACGGCCTGGAGAAAACCAAAGAGAAGCAGATGGAAATGAACAGAAACAACAACAGACACACACTGTGGAGGCCAGAGGTTGTGTGAGTGTGAAAGCTGTCAGGATACATTAGGAGAGAAAATGATAGACCAGCAGCCAGCTTATGTGCTTTCCTGTTTTGTGACATTTATTAAATATTCTCAAAAGGACACCAAATGTCATTCTACTGATGGACACAAGAACCAAAACGCTTTAAACGTGACCAGCTGGACGTGTCGGGCTTTAGTTCTCAGATTTGTTTGCATGTGAGCGGTTTGAGCTGCATTTGTGAATGTTAGCCGCTGCACTGATTTCTCTGTTTAAGAGAAAACAAAGCCAACTTTGAAGAGTGAGATCCAGTCTCTCAGGCTTCTCCTTTGGCTTCCTTCATTTCTTTTGTCTTTAATTTCACCTGAAACTCCCCTTTGTTTAAAGATCAGGTTTAAGTAACACAGATTTTAGGGTGTTTTTCTAAACGTTTGCCTCGTTGCATCCTCCTTTTTTTCTTTACTTTAGGGTTTCTTCCGAAAACGTAAAACCAGCAACCTGGAGGCCTATGTCAACTGGTTCAACAGGCTGAGCTTCCTGGTGGCTACTGAGATCTGTATGGTAGGTGAAACCACACACACGTGGGCCATTTTTTTGGGTTTCTGGTTCCAGTACTACAGTATTCCTCAAAAAACTAGGCTGCACCTAACAAAAATATCCTGTTTCCTTTTGTCCCCCCTGGTTCTGTCCTTTTAGCCAGTGAAGAAGAAACACCGAGCGCGGATCATCGAGTTCTTCATCGATGTCGCTCAGGAATGCTTCAACATTGGCAACTTCAACTCTCTGATGGCCATCATCAGTGAGTATTTGATGGAAGACGCACAGAAAAATCCTTTATGCTTAATGAAATCCACTTCAGCACACAACAAGAACGATTTCAGACAAATGTCACACAGACAACGGGGCACTGATGGCCTGGTCTATAGTTGTGTAACAGTATCACAAACCTTTGTGTTACTACTGGTTATAAAATAGGGCACACAAACAGTAGTCCCTCAGATTTCTCTCAGACTGAGCCACTACACCGGCTAAAGCCAACAAATATGGTGCCAGCTGGAGTTTAGGCTACCACTAATCAGTTTAAGGAAGTCTAAACTCGGTTAGCGGAGGCCTGGAGCACTCCAGCCTGCTCTTTGTCTTCAGTCTGTCTCTGTACTCATGCTCCCTCTGCTCCTCAGCTGGGATGAACATGAGTCCTGTCGCCAGGCTGAAGAAGACCTGGAACAAAGTCAACACAGACAAGTTTGAAATCCTGGAGGTAAGAATCTAGATTTGTTTCTTTAAACAGCTTTCTGCTCAAATGTAGGGCATCCAGTTCCCAGTGTGTTTTGTGTTTGATGACGTCTGTTCTTCTGCGTGTGATCTTACTCAGCACCAGATGGACCCGTCCAGTAACTTCAGTAACTATCGCACGGCGCTACGCGGCGCCACCCAGAGGTCTGAGACTGCACACAGCAGCCAGGAGAAGGTGAGGAAGCCTGTAAGAACCACGAAAAGAAGAAAAAAGCACAACTCTTCCATGTTTTAAAGAAGCTTTCCTCTCTCTCCTACAGATTGTGATCCCATTCTTCAGCCTGCTCATTAAAGACATCTACTTCCTGAATGAAGGCTGTGCCAACAGGCTGCCTAATGGACACATCAATTTTGAGGTCTGTTTGTTAGACTTTCACGTGAGGAAATGTCTCCCCCTCGTGGCTAAAAAAGAAAACTCAGAAAAACAGAATCTTTAGTCCTGAACATCTCTCTGCTTGAGCTTGTTATGTTAAGAACCATTAAAGCCTTCTTGTCAAACTGTTTTATATCACCGTCACTCAACAGAAACTGTGGGAACTGGCAAAGCAGGTGAGCGAGTTTCTGGTCTGGCGTCAGGTCATTTGCCCTTTCGACAGAGACCGCCGCATCCTTCAGTATCTTGTCACCACGCCCGTTTTCACTGAAGACGGTCAGTCCTCATTTATCGATTAGCTTAGAAAATATACCTATTTTAGTTTTTTGTGATTAATTTAGTAAATTTTGTTTCACCACCTCAGAGCTGCATTTGGCTTCATATGAGAGCGAAGGACCGGAGAACAACATGGAGAAAGACAGTCGGAGGTCCCTCAGGTTGGTGCTGACGGACTTCTGTAACGTGAGCATTTTCCCCAGAACTGTGACGCTGATTACTTGTGCTTTGCTTCATAGGTCTTCCCTTCTCCATCGAGAGAATCGATCTTAAGACTTCTTCCACCATACCGGTTTAGAAATAAGAGGCTACACTTCTTATTCCTGTGGACAGCATTTGCATCCTGGACTTAGACTCTGCTCTCTGGGACGATGGATGTAGTTCAGACATCTTTACAAGAAGTTTGCATGAGTCATGAATCAGAAACTTAGACCAGTGTCGGTGACGACGTGACTTATTTTTATGGACGAAGATCACTTTGGAACATTGTTATCCAGAACAACTCCGGCTTGTTCGACTAAAGTCACTAGTGGGATATCAACGTGGATTTCTGTTTGCACCACTGGTTCTGAGGTCCTCCCGATTTTGAAGTTTTAATTCAAAAAGAGACCGTTATGGATCTGAGGAACATCACTACTCACACGATACATCTGGACACCATAGAAACAGATAATTAGATGAGCTGATTGAAACTTCGTATGAGGTATAAATTCAAGGCTCTAAAGTGTTTTGTCATAACCTCGGGTCGATCAAGCCTTCCGTTTGTCAGCTCATAATGAAAATCAGAGCAGCAGCAGCAAACTCCGTGTTCAGCGTTTCATCTGCATTAGAACATCTGGTGACGTCTGTATTCACCAGAACTGTACACGCGGCAGCAACATCGTGCAAACTAAAATGAAATGCACTTCAGTGAGTTTCTGTGTTTTTATAGGTGGCTGATCTGTATGAGTCTTTATGGCATAAAACTGTATTTTGTATCAGAAGCTTAAAACTTTTTTAAATCACTGAGTTTCACAATGAGCTTGTTGCTGGTTGGCTGGCTCTGTGACATAAAGCTATCACACTAGTTTGTATGTATTATGTATATAAAAAAAAAGTATTTCTGGTCAGACTGAAGCACAAACGTGTGTGTGTTTGTGCAGCATATATGTAAAAACAACTAACTCCTACCCACCTGCTATCATGTGAGAGTTGTAATAGCCAGCTTTGTGCGAGAGTCATTTTATTGTTTATTTTTAATATTTTTGTGTATCTTTTGTGCTCGCAGAGGGTACTTGTGCTAATAATTCTTGTGACTTTTTGTTTAAATAAACAGAATGTGTTTTGATATTTTCTATTAATAAAAAGTTACTGTATCAATGTCATTTGTCTGTTAAGCTGTTTATTTACAATGCACAAAGTTCTGAGCAGTTTCAGAAGGACACGTTGGTGATCTTTGGCCAAAAAGGTAAAAAAGCAAAAGTTGAACCACGTTCTTTTCACATCAGCGAGACTGAACTCTGGTGAAGTGGATGCAGCGACCCTGAAAAGCAGAAGGGAACAAATTAAAAAACAAAAAAATATTTAAACAAATGCTAGAATAAAATTGACATGATACTGTGGATAACAGTCCTGGAAATATTGTTTATTCTGGACTAATTAGTTACGAAAAGGCTTTTTAGCAGTAAGTATATGTCTGATTTTATATATGTAAATAAATAAAAAGGAGAAATAAAATATTTAAGAGGATTTCCAGGACAACTTGCATGTCATTTTGCCAAATGTTTATTTTATCAACAGGACTGGTCTCTTACCTTGTCCTGAGGTGTTGGCCTCATGATTGCCACTCTGTCATACTGTCTCCTCAGTAAAGCCATCAGTGCATCAACACGCCCCTGAGGGTCAAACCAAAGTCAGGTTCAAAAATAGGGCAACAGCAGCATCAGAATGGCTAAGCTGACTCAAGAAAACACTTCACCTTGATGGGGGTGTACCATTTGGACTGGGACGGGGAGTTGTAGACTGGAGGAGGTCTCGGTGGTGGCCGAGGGACGATGGGTTCATCCACCTCCTCCGGCATGGTGACTACAGCATTTTTAGCCTTCTCCAGCCGTGACCCTTCCTCGGTGGATCCCTTCTGACCCCATCGCACCTACTCGAAGTGAAATGCCAGATCTGAGCAAAATATGATAACCCTGACCAAGAGACACTTTGTTTCAGCTGAAAGAAAATTAATCAAACATGTACTCTAATGACTCGTTAAATCACATTTTTTAAAAGTTCACCTCCATGCGTCGGATTCCTCCAGGACCCCTTCCTCCATAGTAGGAAGCATCCACTGTAGGCCACTTGTGTTTGGATAAAAGATCCTCCTCTGACTCCTTTAAAGTAACAATAGATGTTTTTTTTTTACTTTAAGCTAGAGCTTAAAAATTGATCCATATGATTGGTTAGAAACTTGACCAGTATCACATTTGACACCACTCTGCACCCCTCTGCTGACCAAAAATGCATTTGATAGCTTTGTGGAGTGGGTAGGTGCTAGCCTACGCTCCATTGACGGCTCTTGGTCATGGGGCGGGTTTTACCATTGTTTTTCAAATGATCTCCGCATGCTATTGGACAATGAACAACGTGACATACTCACTGCAATGGGTGTCTGTAAACATGGAGGTCCGCTATTAAAGAAGGCAAAAATATTTCCCTTTTTCAAAAAAAAAAAAAAAAAAAAGAACTTAAATACATCTATCTGCTCCTGAATCTAATAAAGCCCAAGTCCAAATAGCCCAAAAAGCCATTTTAAACTAACTGTTGCCATCTTGTTCCACTCTGTAATATCATCCCGCCCACCAGACAAATAGAGGGCCCTGATTGGCCCACGAAGCGGACAAAATGCTGTGATTGGTCCATAAAGCAGATAGAACGCTGGGACTGGCCCACCATTGTGGACCAATCACAGCTCTCTGTGTTTGAAAGCCCTATAGAGAGCTGTGATTGGCCAGCCATAATGCTGGGGCTGTGAGGTTCCAATGGAGCGTTCCTAGACCAAACTTTGCAAAGCAAGAATTTGGTTTAGTTCACTAGGCTAGGTAGGTGTCCTAGGAGGTGTGATTAACCTGCTTTACGGCTGTTAGCTGAAATGCTAGCAGGTTAGCATTTTCAGTTTGCTGATCGTTAGTAAAAAGCACAAGAAGAAAAAGAAGATGTTTGCTTTTTCTTTTGGCATTATGGCGAAGCCAAATCAATCAATCAATCAATCAGATTTTATTTATAAAGCGCTTTTCAAGCAAAGTGCAACTCAAAGTGCTTTACAGAATTAATAGTGAGTCATAAGAAGTAATAGTAAGAGAGTATTGTCTTTAGAGGTGAAGCAATGAGCTAAAACCGGAGTAAACATCAGCATGGCCTACACTAGTTTGAGGGAGCTAAAGGAGGCTACAAATCACAGTGATGGTGACCTGGCTTAGTTGCTACCGGACTTTTACGTAATAACATTTTTTGTCCAACGGTGTGGATCTTTTTACTTTGTGGTTTATTTTAGTTAGTTGGCCCACATTAGTGTTAGCTTGTTGTTAGCACTAGCTGCAGCAGGGTTGTTTATGACAGTTGTCATTCCACTTTCAACCAGTAGGGCGGAGGAGTAGAAAACTGCTCACAGTTACTTTAAAAATAAAAGAAACATAGCTCTTGTTCCCATTTTGGAACATGAAAAGCTTTTAGTGTAAACGTTAGATCTTACTCAGAGCTCCTCAAGAAAAAGAAGAAAATATTATTTCTATAGCACCTCTCAAGATAAAATCATGAGGCACTTCACAAACAAAAAATGTAAAAATATAAAAAAGCATTTAGAAAATGGTTAAAAATATATTTAAAATGAGCAAAAATAAGACAATTGTGATTAAAAAAATGTTAAGAAAGAGAGAGTGAATAGGAAAGAGGGAAATCAGTGCTGAGGAAGGTGGAATAGGTGGGGAGAGCAGAATAAAGAGAGAGTGGTGAAGAAGGTCATACAAAAGCCAGCTTGAACAGGTGAGTCTTCAGCTGCTTTTTAAAGGAGTCCACTGAGTCCACTGATCTCAGGCTCAGGGGGAGAGAGTTCCAGTCTGGGGGCCACAGCAGCAAATGATCTGTCACCTTTGGTCTTTAGCCTGGTGCGCTGCACAACCAGTAGGCTTTGATCACTGGACCTCAGGGACCTGCTGGGGGTGTAGGGACTAAGAAGATCACCAATGTAAGATGGTGTTTGTCCATGTAAGGCCTTATAGACCAGAACCAGGATCTTGAAATGAACCCTGAAGTTGACTGGCAGCCAGTGAAGCTGGAGGAGAAGCGGGGTGATGTGGGTGTGTTTGGAGGACTTGGTCAGAAGCCGAGCACAGGCATTCTGAACCCCCTGTAGACGGTTAAGGGAGGTTCATTAATGTGTTTGTTATGATCACCTATTCCACGAGTGTTTATTTTTCTACTGCAGGTTGTTTACTAAGAATTCCATGTAAAATGAAATTCAACATGATGTTGCATGAAACCCTAAACATTTCTTAAAATATGAGCCGTTTTACAGAAGCAGAAATAATCTCTGATCTTGGCTCAGCTTGAACTAAAGGGTGGCAACTATTTCTCCAAACAGAGGCTGTTCGGGATGTGGATTTTCACATATAAAGCATGTCAAAAATGAATGACAAAAGGTCAAAAATAATGTATAAAATCAGCACAAATAATGATACAAATGATGAAATGTTTGTATGTGAACTAAAACATACTTCAGAACAAGACGCTACATATGAACTTGCAGCAGCAACACATTTCTGAGGCAGGAACTTGATCTCCAGCATGTAGATAACTCCCTTTTCTCACTCTAGCTCAACAAATAAAACCTGGCAAAGCATCTATTTCTCCCTCCCAAGCTCCACCGACGCTCCTTCTGTGTTCACCCAAATTTAGATCTTCTCTCAATCAGCTCTGCCAAGATGGCAGCACGATGGAGTCCGTCCATCAGAACAAAGACTTTCTGGAATAATCTAGGTTTTACTCACAATGACAGGAGGTGGAGGAGGGGGTCGGGAGGGGGGTGGGTCCCTGATGACCTGCGGGAAACACAAAGACAATTATGAAAACCTGTTTCTATTCGTAATAATTTAAAACATTTTTAAGCCTCTTCTACAGCAGTAGCCCTTTAAATAAAGAGAAAAACAGTGAAATGTAGCACAATTCAGATTTATGGTTGTGTAGCTGTTGTTTTATTATGGAATAATTAAATCTCCGCGTGTGTGTATGTGTGTGTGTGTGTGTGTATGTGTGCGTGCGTGCGTGTGTGTGTAGTTTACCACAGTGCAGCAGAGAGGCCAGAACCACCACAGTAAAGCCAGAATCAGTAACAGCAACAAGGCCAGCAGCAGCCACAACACCCAGGTCCCATCTGACTGCAACAAACACCAAACATGGTGTGGTTTCAATCCCAGGTAGCTGCTATAAAGATTTATGTAAAACATGCATCATGAACTGATACCCACGCATGTCGTAGCAGATATGGTGATGGGACCAGAGATGTAGGATTTTCCATTATTCAAGCTAACCAGCACTTCCAGTGATCTGTAATTATCAGAGTCACAGAAACACAACAGCAGATTAGCTGGCTCCTGAGGCAGGTGATGTAATAAAACGAATCCTCCTGTTCATGATACAGTTTTGGTTTGATCCCTGAAAAAAAAGTGAAACAGCCTAATTGAAGGAAGTGAACTTAAAACAATCCAGCTTTTCTCATCCAAAGTCACCAGTTTCCTTACTGGTTGCTGTGGTTTAAACTTTAAAGCACTGAACAGGGATTGTTCCCAAAGTGTGGGCCGTTGTCCCAGAGTGGAACAGATAACAGAGAGTGTCAGATGACAGGAGGACGGATTAAAACAGGGTGTTGTTTGAACTGGATGAGGTCATATCAGGCCTGCTTCACTTATTAAATACCACAGATATCCAGACCGGTACATGCGACACCTTTAGACGGATGCACAGTAACCGCTGTTCTTGTTAAACCAGCTTTCTTCTTTTAAGGAAAGAGTTGATGATACATTAAGACTATAAATGAATTAGTAATCTAACAAAAGTGCTTTCATTTATTAAAGGCAAAATTATTAGTGATGCATGAATCTGATTTTGAGGGCCGGTACTTTTATCTTGTATCAGATTCCAGTTTAAACCGGAAATCCCATTTTCTGACTATGTTGAAAATTTTGGGATTAAAAAAACTCCAAATGAAAGACAAGTTATAATTCATTCATGGATTAAATAAAAGACACTAAATAGACAATTCCAATAACACATGATTATTTACACTTATCTGTGATCTCTTACATCTAAACAGATAGGGGGCCTAAGTCTCCTCCCTTTCTGGTCGGCTCATGGGTCCCCGAAGAACGAAAAAATAAATGCAAGTCAACGGGGCTAAAGGAGCTATTTTCTAATTCGCTGTGCCTTACACTGGATCCCACATACGTTTACTGCTATTTAAATGAAAACTAATGACGGGTGTTTTGACCACGATTTTCTACTTGGTTTCAACATGCATTTTTTTTAGCTCTAGTGCAAGAAAACAACTGTAAAGTTGAAATCCACTTCAATGGAGTTGCAGCTCATCTGCAGCTTCACACAGGTGTAGACTATTTTATTGGACTTGACTTACTGTCCGACTTCTTGGAGACGAGGAGCTGGACACAGCAGGTAGCCGTCCTCAACAACCGTTGGCCTCTCATCTGACACAGAAAAACTAAATGAATCACATTTTTTAGCAGAAATTCCGTTTGAATTCTAAGCTCAAAATATTTGTGTTTTTAACAAGTCAGGGGTGGAAGCCCTCCCCTAAGCTCAACAACTGCATCACATCATCACGTTATTTTTTCTTCTGTGCGTGTCCTCGCTGTGACACTGACCACAGCTCAGTTCCTGCCATCGATCCTATTAACAAACTAATGGGGGAGCGAGAGAGCGCATCTCCTCCCTCCCTCTGCTCCCTCTCATAATATCTCCTCTGTTCTCTGGCTAAAGCCAATAAAAGGCCGGTGCTGTTTGGGTCTAAATGTCATCACGACTCAGACTTTCCACTGCGGCTCTGCACACGGGGTCAGATTTCACTTTATGGATGATTTAATCACAGAGAACACATGATGTCGTGTAGATGAAGTGAGATTTCTTACTGTAAACTGCTTGATTGACCGAAAGAACACAGAGAATGTTGTCTATCCTCTTGGATCCGCTGAAGCCAGTACCCCTCAGAACCACGTTAAAAGACTCTGAAAGGAGAAAAAATAAAGCTTCAGAGCCAGTTCCCAAATCCACGTCAACTATTACAGAGTAATATAATTAGTGTCCCTTGAACTAGTATGCATATTTTGTCTAAATCTTAAAATTCTGTCATGCAACATTGTCTGATCTTGTGTGATGTGTTAGCACCCAGAGCGTGTGCTGTGAACGACTCTCAGCTACTTTGATGCAAATGCTTAGGTTTCATTAAAATACACTCATCCATCCATTATCATTCGCTTATCCAGGGTCGGGTCACAAAGGCAGCAGCCTCAGCAGAGGGGCCCAGACCGCTCACTTCCCAACCACTTGGGCCAGCTCCTCCAGGGGATTCCCAAGGCGTTCCCTTACCAGACAAGAAACAAATAGTCCCAGGGTTTAATTAGAGCCGGATCTTGCTGGAACAAGATCCGGGAACTATCTTATTTTGAAAGGACCGTTCCGGCAACTGTCTGCTGGGATCGGCAACTCATGCAACAAACTGGAAGCCCTCAACACACCCAGGGGTAGCCTGAAACAATCCTGGTTCTACTTATATTACATTATCTATGTGGACTCTCCAGGGATTTATTTGAGCTGAGAGGCACAGAGCTCTGATCGTTGACGCGCTCCAGACAGATGTGTCCTGAGCACGGCCATAGTAACATTCTCAAAGTGTCTCCGCCTCAAAAACAAATTTAACACGCGATCGTTTATGTCTGCTCATATCCTTTCATGCGTCTTTTATTTGTGCCTGATGCGTTTAACTGCTGCGGTGCAGAGCGCATCACCTGTTTCGTCCTCCGGTGAATTCACCTCACCGGTGCAGTCAGCGCGCACTGTGGTGTTGTTGCGGTCGGTAGATCTTTTTGAACTGCAGTTCAAAGGTAACTCATGAGGTGAATATATATGAACGCAGGTAGCAGTTTTTCTTTAGGATTGAGAGGAGATGCAGGAAGATAATAAACAGACAGGACAGAAAAATAGTCAAATAAAAACAAGTTAGTTTTTGTACCTGGTGGTTGCAACAAACAGACACCATTGAAGGTAATCAGAAGTGAGGAAAAGAAAATGAAATCATTATTTTAATGTTTAGATCAGCAGGAACTCTGAGAGGCTGCAGGCGCATATTATTCAGTCAGTTTTTTTTTTTTGGGGGGGGGGGGGGGGGTGACATTAATTCAGGCCGGAAATTTTGAAACCATGCCAGGCCACCGCCCAATTCACACTAAACACTAGAAGTGGGTTAGGCTGGGCACCTACTGATGTAAAAGTGTAAAACAACTAAATTAAAACTTCACATGAGCCCTGATTCTTTCCTCTAAAATATGAATATTTGTGTTCTGCTGCTATAATCTGTGCTTATGTTGCATAAACTGAAATTCTATTTTATTCAGTTAAACGTACCTCCTGCACATGAGATGAAATAGGCCAGACACCATCATCCACCTGAATTAATTAAGACTAAAAGGTACCAGACTACATGTCTGGGTCCAGAGAATCACACCACAAGCAGAGACATAAAAAAAGTGTGTGTGTGTGTGTGTGTGTGTGTGGGGGGGGGGGGGGGGGGGTCCCTCCCCATTGCTAAATGACTGCATCATTAGAAAATTTCCTAGGTGCGCGATGCGGAAAGTTTGGGCCGTGCGGAGGCCAGGTGGAGGGGCGTGGTTGTTAAAGTGACGCAATTTTGCCGCACGGAGCCGTGCGAACCTCGCGGGCGCGTCAGGCATAAACCAACCTTTAGTGTCATTTAGGTTTACAACGTAGTAGGCACAGATTAAATGGACAGCCTCAACCATGGAAGAAGCCTTTTGCAGATGCCCACATCTCTGACATCCATATATAGTGACAGACCAGTATATATGGATGTTTTCCTCATAATATTCATGTAAACACCAATAATAATATTAGGGGTTTAAAGGCTATGAACCAAAGACAAAATAAGCCAGTGGTGAAGGTTTATGCATTTAACAAGAAATGCCATAAATGATGATCAGGGCTGATGTGAAATCTAATCCAGATTAGTCCAGGCGCTGACGTCGTTAGGTCCGTTTTAGGGGGGCTTCAGCCCCCCTAAAATAATCACAAGCCCCCCTATCATTTTGGTTTATTTTATTTTTTCAGTTAACTTTTTTTTATTTGTTCACATCTACATGCTCAACACAATCACGACACGTGTAGTTGGTACATGAGTTTTTTTTTTGTCTGAAACAGAAATAATAATTAATGAATATAGAACTACACCGTCACACACAGGAAGTATCAAGAAAGGACTTCCTCCCCTTAAGCCCGGCAGCTTTGTTGACAAGTCAGGGGCAGGGGTTATACAGCAAAACCTTTATATCGATGAGCAAACCCTGCTCAGCGCTCTTGTAAGTCACTCAACATCACATTAGGGTAAGACGGCAACAGCAGCACACCGTTAATATTTCAAGGTTAAAGTTCAGACGAGAGAGGAAAATGTTACCGCACCGACATGCTAATGCTAACTCCGCTAGCATGTTTACATGCCGCAAACCATAATGAAAAGCCGCGCCATAGTTAAATGGTCCGAAAACTCCCCTGAAGTGACGTGATTAACGAGCCAGCCAGTTCATTGAGTGACAGTGCCACCAACTTGAGCGTACAGTAATGAGTCTGCACAAACAGAACCTGCTCTGCGCTTGTGTGCAGGAGCTACAGCCCTCTGTGGGCTCAACTCTGTCTCTGCGATGCAAATCTCTCCCTGCTCTCCTCAACAAGTAGCCTCTCCAACAGTCAATCACAGACAGCTCTGTTTTATCCAATCAAAGCATGTCCAGGAAATACTGCTTTACAGAAAAACACCCATTTAACAGCTAATTGAACTGCTTTCTGCTGCTGGTTAGCTACCAGTCACCATCCACTGCCTGCAAAATACTTTGTTGTAATTCATGTGTCATGATTAGAGTGACCATATTTGACTTCCAGAAAAGACACATTGCCCATTCCTAAAACTGTTAAATTGCACTATTTTCAGTTAAAGAGGACTTTTAATTTCAACATATAAAGTGTTTCTTCTCTGTTTGGTTAGACATAAATGATCCCTTGATGTGTAAAAGGAAGTGAACAGTGGAAATGTCCCAGGAAAAGAGGAGGGTTAATCAACCTAATTAAATATAATTATATAAAGTCCTCTTTATCTGAAAAAAGTGCAATTTTCCTGGCAGTATTTCCTGGACATGCTTTGATTGCATAATGGAGAGCTGTCTGATTGGCTGACGGAGAGGCTACATTGCTTTGTAAATTGCAAATTGAGCAACAACAGGGAGATTTGTGCAGGCAGAGACGGAGTTGAGCATGCAGAGAGAGGGCCGCATACTACTGCAGAGCAGGTTGTGCTCCTGCAGATTGGTCACTGCACGCTCCAGTTGGTGGCACAAAAATCACTCCACACTAAAAACCTGAATCAGAATATGGCCGAATGTGTATATTATTGACCGTTTTTCTTTATTATATATTTTTTCTATAATATATATATTATATTATAGGTACATATATGTATCTATAATATAGTAAACAGCCAGTTTTATAATGTCACATATATTCAAAAGCTACATCAAAACATATTTTAAAACCTATATGTTTATATGAATTCTTTCCATGTGGGTTGTCAATTGCTTAATATTTCCTATGTTTACCTATGGGAAAGAAAGGAGATATTGTACTCATCTAACTTTAACATAAATTTTGGCAGCTTAATGTGACATTATGGAAAATGCCATCATCATGAGCAACCAAACATAGGCTATATTAGGCTAACAGTTGTCCATATTCTGTACCATCTATTCACCAATGGCTGTTTCAGTTATTGTGAGTGAAAACTAAATGGCTTAGTAGCATTTTTTTTGTCATTAGAAATTGAAAATGTTTTTCAATGTGTTGGCTAGATGGATATACGAAGATTTTTTTAAGAGAGTGAGTGAGGAACAGGAGAGAGATGCTGATGAGATCTGCATGGTCAAGGTCAGTGATCTACAGCGAAAACAGGGGCGAGCGCATCGTTATGAGCATTTACCTGAGCACAAAGTTCCCAAGCAAAATTGAACAGTTTTCTATTTAGGAGTGAACAGGTAAGAGACCTTGAGAAAAAAAAAACTATAATAATCATGTGACCTGCAACCTTATGTCAAGTTGTATCTGTATAGTTGACTTTCTGTATTATAAGTTCTACTACTTGCTGGATATTTTCATATATACTGTTATTTTGTCTTGTAATAGTTAATTATATACTCCTTTATTCCATATCATAGCAGTGTTATTCATATATATTAAAACTGTCAACTGCACACTCATTTGGCAGAATAAAAGTTTGACAATTATTCATTTGTTCTTTATTGTCACATTTCAGTAACATTTATAATTAAACAAGTTGTAATTAAACAAATTAAATAAATGACTACAACATTTCCCCCTGTTAAGTGCAGTAGACTGAAATGAATAGCTTTATTTGGAAATATAACATATCAAATTTTTAATGGACTTACATAAAATCTTTCTTCAACATAGACCCCACTAATTAACTGATTAAGTGTTATTTTTTATAAAAAGAAGAGAGAAAATGCACAAAAGTAGGAAAGGAAAGGAAAGTGATAAAATAATAGGTTTTGTTAGATTTTCTTCAGATAATGAATTAATTGATAAAGTTTTTGCAGGGTGTGACAAAAAACCTTTGAGGTCAAGCTCCTGGGGCTAAGCCCCCCCTATATCTCAATCCTAGTGACGTCCATGAGTCCAGGTCAGAATTATCATCTCATCTGTGATCAGCAGCAGCTGGATATTTATGGCCACACAAGTTCAAGTGAATCACACTCCTTTTATGTCTTGTGTTTGCTCACGGTCCATATTTCCGTTTAGAAACCGTCTCTCCTCCATGGATGTACCTGCCTGTCAGCAGAGGCGGAGCTGGCCTAAATGGCGCCCTGTGCGAGATCCCCCGTGACCCCCCCCACCCCCCCCCCCCCCCCACATACACACACACACACAAGAA